TCAGGTCATGGCGCAGGCGCTGTCCTATAAGCTGTCATAAGCATGTGGGGAGACACCACTTTTCGCCCCCCGCATGCGAGTGCACACGGACGACGATTACACAACGTCCGCGCCGCTCCCGGAAGAAATCTGATGAACGTGTGCGTACGATCATTGCCCTACGCCAGTCGCGAGCTGTGGCCTCGACCAGGGCGACCTGTCAAGGTCCCCGTTGGAAGCAGTCCTTGCTGGCCTGATCTGTTTCGGGGGCGACCGTCTGACTGTTGAGCAGTCGCAGCGAAGACATCAGCCCTCATACTTTCTCCCCCCGTTCTCCCACAGCCTCTCCCTCGCCGTTCAGTTCGGTGTGGCTGGTCTCGGGATGCCTACCCGACCTTGCAGAAGCCAGCGGCTCTGCGGAGCTCAGCGCACTTTCGCGGACGTCTGACGCAGCAGCGCGCCCATGCAACGCTCGGGGACCAGGCTGGGCTCACGGAGGAAACGACTCCTCGGCCGTCGGAGCCTCGGGGCTGGGGCGTGCGGGGCCAGCCAAGGCGGCAACCCGATGCGCAGCAGATGCAGACTTTCTGGGGAAGCTGGGCGCGATGACCCCCAAGGGTGGTGACAAGCGCGGACCTGAAGCGGCGCGTTCCCCTCTGTGCACGTTGCGGCCGTGCATGTCGTGGAGCGCGCGGCACCCTTCCGTGTAATTTGCATGATCTGTTTTTTCCGTACGGCCGGGCCCAAGACAGAAGACCATCCTTCACAAGAACATGAGGCCCTCCGCCAGCCCAAACACCCCACACCATCCCCTCGAGGGAACCCTTCCCCAGGATGCACAAGAACATGCAACACAAAAAGCACGAAACAAATCAAGGCACCCTCCCCGAACCGACCTCGATCTGATACCTCGGTCCGACCGTGTACCGTATGCCTGCAACGTAGCGCGAAAGACAGCCGTCTTGAGCGGCCCAGGTGCCAATCGACGTGCCTCTGTTGTGTAGCCATACAAGGGCCCCTGGCACTAACCCTTTGGGAGGGGACCCAAGTTCGGAGGGCCAAAGACATTGGGGATAGGGGCCCTTGTTGCAGATGTAGCAAACCAAACCGCCCATATTTAGTATTCCTGATAAGACGGGGACCTAAGTGAGGCCACGTCGCCATTATTTTTTTCGCAAGCACGTACAGTGCGGGCGCGGCCGCAAGAAACCCTCGCAAGACACCCACCCCTGAAAATCCGCACGCGAGGTGCCATTGAGGGGTAAGGCGGAGCACCACCAGTGCAGCAGCGTCTTTGACGGCGGCGGGAAGTCGCCGCGCAGCGCGTGGAGCGAAGAAACCAGAGGAACCCTCACACATCTTAGGCCACGTCGTCACGGTGTTAGTTAGGGTTACGGATTCTCTTCTCCTCGATGATCTTTGCCCTCAGGCTAGGCTTCTGTCGGGCATGCCCCCCTACAGGCGGATTTTGGGCGAACAATGAAAAATACCCCAAAAATGCCCCCACATAGTCACCAAAATACCCCAATGATACAAACATGATGCAACAATGCCCCCCAAATAATCAAACAATGCCCCCAAATAGTCAAAACATACCTCAAACATGCCCCCGAGTACCCTCAAAAAAATAGCCAAACAATGATACTCCTACTCCTACTCCTCCTCCTCCTGCTCCTCCTCCTCCCACTCCTCCTCCTCCTCCTCCTCCTCCTTCTCCTCCTCCTCCTCCTCCTCCTCCTCCTCAAATGGGGGGGCATCGCGAGGCGGTAGGATGGTGAGCAACACAAGTATCCCCAATCCTTTGGGAGAGGACCTCAGTTGGGAGGGCCAGACGCCTCCTGGATGTGAGAGAGCCTGCACTTGCAGACGCCTCGGACGAGACCCACATGCTCAGGGACAGCCCGGAGAGCCGAGGGCCTCCACTAGGCCACGAACTCGTTGTGTTGCGAGGGTTGGCTCTGTTATGCTTAATGATCGGAGGGTGGTGGTGCCCCCCACGATGCCCAGCACGGGGCGGTCGCACCGCGACACCCCAGAAGGACGCCAGGTGCTGCGCGATCCACAGAGCGCTGGGGTCGCGACGGCGACCGGCCATCGCGCCCCCCCAGCGGGCAGAGATGTCAGGCACAGCGGTCCCGGCATGCGGGCGGCGGGCGTCCTGCGTCCGCCGCGGATGTGCCAATCCTTGTAGCAGTCCTAAGGGGGAATCAGAGGGTACCGACACCGCTAACTCTCCAGACCGCTCCCAGGGGCGCGTTCTGACCAGGATTTCGAGGCGAATCCAGCGGTGGCGACGAGGGCCTCCCAGGAGGCCCCCCCACAGGGGGAACACGAGGGAAGAGCAGCGGTGTGGGTACATTTTCCTCCTCTGAATCCTTGCAGTACAGGTCCGCGCACTGCACGCAGTGGAACAGGGCGATGCTCTCCTGGCGCGCGCGCGCGCGCGCCAGTTGGGGGGGGGGGCCGCCTAGACCGCAAGGCCAGCTTCCGGGGGCCACACGCCCCGCGGAAACGGCGGAGGTGCCGGGGGAGGAGGAGGAGCCGACGAGCATGGACTCGATGGGGCCTCGACGGGGCCGAGATTCGCAGCACTAGAGGCCCCCTAGATGGATTCCGAGTAGATGGGGTCGGAGCATCGCACCGAATCGCCAATTCATCATCGATGCATCGACGACGTCGCCGGTGCATCGGTGCCGCGTTGGCGTGGAGAAAAGAGAGAATCGGGCTCCACAATAAAACGTATCGCCGATGCATCGTCGATGCGGCTCGATCCTCCGACCCCATCTAATCCGACCCCATCTGAGAAACTTAGAGAAACGATTTCTTCCAGGCCCGTGCTGGCCATCTAACAGAATCGGCCTGGGCACTGGAAGTGCCCCCCTCCCCCCAGGACATCAGAAGCAAGGCGTGCCAGGACTTCCTCGCCCGTCAAGAAGACATGTCTTGACCCCCGCATCCCCCGTATCAGCTCGAGGAGGAGGAGGAGGAGGAGGAGGAGGAGGAGGAGGAGGAGGAGGAGATGGAGGAGGAGGAGGAGGAGGAGGAGGAGGAGGAGGAGGAGGAGGAGGAGGAGGAGGACGGGTCGCCTAAGCCAAATTCCATGGCGCCGCGCTCTCTCCCGTCCGCCCCCGGCCTCGCCCCGTGATCGCGGCACCAATGCTCGAGGGGGAGCCATCACACATGTACTCCAGATTTCGTAATAAAGGGAGGGGGGTCTCATTTCGGGGGGGGTCTCTTCCAGGCTATCTTGGAGGGCCTGGGGGGGTCTGGGGACGATGTTTTGGAGGGTTCTCCCACGGGGGGGGGGTCTGAAATGGCTTGTCTTGGAGGGTCCAGACCCCCTCCCTTGTATTACGACATCTGGAGTGCAGACGCCACCTCTCGAACTCCGACCCCGCCTTCGGTCTCTTGGAAAGCCACATCGGGAATGCAGCATGCCCACCGGGAACTGTGGCTGGCCCAGTCTGGTTGGGACAAATGGTCCCTCGGGGGGGCCAGGCCCGTGCCGGCCGCGACCTCCAACAGCAACGCAGACGACAGGATGTCCGCAGCCCTCAAGCCCTGGGCACCTTTCTGCAATCCTTCTTCCCCAAGTCGGAAGGCATAATATCCACCCCCATAGTAGTCACCCCGACAAGCGAAGCCGTTCAGTAAACGGACCCAGGGAAGGACTCGAAGAGGGCAGGGCTGTTCAGTAAGCGCCCAAGGCCATTTAGTAGACGTCGCTTGTCGGGTCCGGGTGTTTTTTCCTCTCTTGACAAGTGGAGCTGTCCTGCCCCTTCCTTCTGGCCCCGTCTTCGGCGGGCCGCTGGCACCCTGCGCGCCATTTTCTCCATCCACCCCGAAGACCGAGGGCGCCGATGTGCAGAAACCATCGAAACACACACTGCGTGTTGGCCTTCCTTGGCCTTGAAGACAGTCCTTAAATACCTGCTGTTTCCGCCATCGCCCGCCTGTTATTCCTAATTGGCCCCAGTGCGGTCCGATAAACCCCCAATACGCAGCTGGGGAAAAAATATAACAACATCAACAAGACGATTGTCTTGAATGATCTGCAGACGGCGACGCCCAAACAGGATCATTAAGTTACGTTCGCCTTACAAAGTTAGCAGCGTGCGCAGGCGTGCACCATGGGCCACGTCATTGATACGCCATACTTTATCTTGCGCGCCTGGTGGCAACATTGGGGGGCGGACGCCACTAATGCCCGGGTGCTCTTCCACGCTGATCCTTCACAGGGCCGCTGGCGTGGGCGGTTCCACGTTCTGCCGCGCGACTTCGTTCCCGCAGTCGGATGGCTAACATGTGCCGCGCAATGCAGACGAGATGTTCTTACGTAGCATTGACGGGCGGATGTCGCTTGATGCGACGGGCCCCGCCTGGTCTGATTCAGCGTCGTTTCGGCTTCCATCCCTTTGCCACTTTTGCAACACACTTTTTTCACGGGGATGGGATGCTGCCTAAGTGTCGGGTTTCCGCGCGATTCCCTCTCGTCCATTGGCGTGCCGCCCTTCGCGTCTTGTGGCACGTGTGAGACTTGTGCCCCTGTGGGACTTGTGCGGCTTGTGGGACCTGCGAGACATGCGCGACTTGGGCGAATTGCGGGAAGGGGGGGTCCTGCGGGACCTGTGCGGCCTGTGCGACCTGCGAGACTTGTGGGAGCAGTGGGGCCTGTATGACCTGTGGGGCCTGTGCGAAACGTCGACCTTGTTAGGGTCTGCGAAACCTGCAGGACCTGTCGGGCTTGTGGGGGCCGTGGGGCCTGTGCGACCTGTGGCACCTGTGGGGCCTGCGGGACCTGCGAGACTTGTGGGACCTGCGAGACCTGTGGGGCCTGCGAGACTTGTGCGACCTGTGATGCCTGGGGGGCCTGTGGGACTGACGAGACCAGTGGGGCCTGCGGGGAATGTCCAACGAACCGCGTTGACGATCTGGCGGGGGGCGGGTTGTATTCGGTATATTCACGCACGGGATGCAATTTAGGTTGCTCGACAATCCCACTTAACGATCGGGCGGGTGCGGGTTTCTTATGTAAATTCACGCACGAAGCCCACTTCGCGTAAAGTGGCGTGCCACGGCCTGCCCGCATTTTGTTTTCTGTTTGTTCTCTACCGTTTGGTGTTTGAAAGAAGAGGACCGGAAACATCCATCGTACAGTGGGAGATGTTTTAAACAACAGGTAACATCTATTTTCATTTTTTAGATTCAAGCAATTACACTGTACGATGGATGCTTCCTGTCCTATTTTTTCATGCAGGAAACAATGGGCGCGCCAGCGCGCGCCACTTTACGCGAAGTGCGCGTCCCGTGTGTGGTTTTACACACTAAACTTACCACCGCCCGATCGTTAATTGGGGTCCCTGGGCATCGGGGCGTGCGTCCCGTGTAGAAATTCGCACGGTGAACCTGAACCCGCCCGCGTCCAATCGTTAAGTCGTTTCGCCCGACATCGAACATTTGCCGCCATGAGCAGATTTTCAGCGAGCCCGCTCCCGCCCAGTAGGGGGTTGCGTCCGACAGCGACGGGCGGCTCGTGGGCCCCAGGCGTAGCCGTTATTGTCAAGAACGGCGGACGACGACGACGACGACCGCGGCGAAATCGACGACGACGACGATGATGACGACCACGACGACGGCGACGACGACGACGAAGACGACGTGCGTTCTCGCCACATCGCCGGCTACTGCTTAGCTCTCGCTCCTCTGCCGAGACATCATCAGCGTCCTTACTCGCCTCCTTCTTCTAAGTCTCCTGCTCCTCCCCCCTCCTCGTTCTCCTCCCCCTTCGCATCTTCATGTTCTTTTCCCTCGCGTTCCCCCCTACCCTCCAAGGGAAGCCGCGACAAAGCACGGCAGCCGTCCGGGTAAAATTGTATTTATCAGGGATCGCGCGTTTCCCATTCCCTTTGCCCGAATGGCAGAGGTTGCCAACGCTGTAGGGCAATGGCCGCCGTAACGCTTGGAATGCACCCAAACAGGTTCGGCATCCACACAGCCGGGAACACATAGTACAAAATCAACAAGACGGTTGTTCTGAATGATCTGCAGACGGCAGCGCCCAAACAGGATTATTAAGTGACATTCGCCTGTCGATGTTGGCAGCGTGCGCAGGAGTGCGCCATGGGCCACGACATTGATATGCCATACTTTGGCTTGAGCGCCCCGTGGCAACATGTGGAGGCGGATGCCACTAATGCCCGGGTGTGCTCTTCCAAGCTAGTCCTTCACAAGGCCGCTGACGTCGTCGGCGGCTCCACGTTCTGCAATGCGACTTCGTTCCCACAGTCGGATGGCCAACGTGCACCGGACGAGATGTCCTTCCCTAGCATTGACAGGCGGATGTCACTTGATGCGACGGGCCCCGCCTGGTCTGAATCAACGTCGTTTCGGCTTCCATCCCTGTGCCACTTTTGTCCCAAACTCTTTCCACGGGGATGTACGCTCCTAGAGGCTAAGACGATCCGAGAGGTCACCAAGGAAATCCGCAGACCCTGTCGGCGTGTGTGAAGGGCTTGTCCGTTCGAGTCTTCGTCCCCGTCATTCGTTAGTCGTCGTCTCTGTCGTCCCCTTTCCCTGCGCTCCCCTTTCTCTGGGCCCGTCGCCGCTCCCCCCCTTTCCCTGGGCCCTCATCCTCAAGCGCTGGGCCCGTCGCCGCTCCCGCTCCCCCCCCCCTCTTCCCTAAGCTCTCCTCCTCAAGCGCGCCAGCCAAACCGAAACTGAGCGACGTCGTAATTGACTCGAAGGGAAGCCCCTTCCTTTTGATCCCTCCCCCGCTGGGAAGGGGGGTGTCCTGGGGTGGGGTCCCGGGTCAGATGCGACTCCCCCCCGGGGGTCCCAGGGGCCCCAAGAAGCCCCAAGACGGGCCAGGAGTGCCCCAAGAAGCCCCGAAGACGGTCCAAGATGTCCCCGGATCGCCCAACGATCTGTCCAAGACGCCTGGACGGCCTCCAGACGGCCCCAAAGCCCTGCAGGACGCCCCAAGATGCCTCCAGGAGCACTCCCAAGAGGCCCCAAGTGGAAACATCATTCCACCTCCTCCTCCGCCTCCGTCTCCTCCTCCTCCTCCTCCTCCTCCTCCTCCTCATCCTTTCATTTCCCATTGGCTTTTGAGGCATTTCGGCGTTCTCACCCCTTCCGCTTCCCGACTCTCCAAGACGGGGCCCAAGGGGGCCCCCGACCGCCCCAGGGGCCATGAGGCGGCCCAGGGCGCCTCCAAGACGGCCCGGGAGGCCCCCACGACGGCTCCAAGAGGGTGCCCAGACGAGGGACCATAATGGACTTTTCGAGCCCTCGTCACCGAGAGGCTCCCAGGAGGAACCAAGAGGCCCCCCAAGAGGCCCCCAGGAAGCCCCGAGAGGCCCCCAAGAGGCCCCCACGAGGCTCCCAAGAGGCCCCTAAACTGTCCCTCAAAGGCCCCCGAGAGCGCTTCGAAGAGACCCCAAGAAGCATCCATGAGGACTCTGACCGACGTCAGCGTCGTCGTCGTCGTCGTCGCCGCCGCCGCCGTTGTCGTCGTTACCCTTTGGGGTCGGCGGCACTGGCCGTAAGGCCTTCGCAATCCAGAGTGAACCCAAGATGTCTCCAAAAGGCCCCCGAGAGGCTCCAAGAGACCCCTCGAGAAACCCCCAAGACGACCTTAGGGGCCTCCAAGAGGCCCCCCAGACGGCCCAACACCCAACAGGCTTTCAAGACGGCCCAAGAAGCCCCCCTGACACCTCAAGAGGTCCCGACGAGGCGCCCAAGAGGCGTCCCAGGTGGCCTAAGAAATCCGTAGGCGGCCCAGAGAGCCACCGAGAGGCCCCAAAGCCTGCATGGGGCCCCAAGACGGCCTAACATTACGTGACTCCGAGACGTCAAGGGGACATCCAGGAGACAACCGACCTGCTCCGACGCCTCGAGGGGCCACAGACAGAGCGGCTCTCTGACTGACCATTCGGCAGGGGAGAACCCCCACGGGGCTGGCAAGACAGCCTCTCAATTTTCGCGCCGCACCACCTCCGTTCTGGCGCAGGAGGAGGAGGAGGAGGAGGAGGAGGAGGAGGAGAAGGAGGAGGAGAAGGAGGGGAGGAGGAGGAGGAGGAGGATTAGGAGGAGGAGAAGGAGGAGAGGAGGAGGAGGAGGAGGAGGAGGAGGAGGGAGGAGGGAGGAGGAAGGGGGAGGAGGAGGAGAGGAGGAGGAGGAGGAGGAGGAGGAGGAGGAGGAGGAGGAGGAGGAAGGAGGAGGAGGAGGAGGAGGAGGAGGTGCTCTGCCCGCTCCCCCCAACCGTCGCCCTTCGTTCTCCGTGCCGATGCCCCACCGCATCGGCGGACGGTGTCCGAGGACCGCGCCGCCCCGCCGACGCGCCGGCGAGGCGTCGGCGCTGCGTCGGCGTGGCGAGCGTCGGGGGGGGGGGCCGAGGCATCGGCGAGGCGGCGACATCCTCCGACCTCGTGCGCGCCGACCCCATCTGGGATCGGGAGCGGCCAGGAGGGGGGCGTCCAAGAGGGGGGGGTGCACATCATGACCGGCGGCGTGTGCGCGGCCCAGCGGGGGGGCCAGGGACGTGATGAAACAAGAAGAGGCGCAATGAAATCTGGGGAAATATCATGGCCCCCGCCATGATATCCCACCCCCTAGTCATCCCCCCCTCTTCTCCGCCCCCGAATCTGGGAGGCCCAGGGCGCCGCAGCACACCGCGGGGGGGCGACCGCGGCCAGCCGAGGGGCGGGCAAGGCCGCGCACGTGACGCGGGCCAGGTCGAGACGGGCAGAGGCCCGAAGGCGGCCCGCCGCGCGCGCGCAGGGCTGCCCCCCTGTGTCGGCTGGGGCTTGGGGGGCACCGCGTTGCCCTCGTCGGGCCGCCTCGGGGCGCGGCGGAGAACATTGTCGAGATCCTCGCCCACCCCCCAGGGTGCATGCTGCAAACTACGCCCTCTGCAAGCCACACACTTCGTAGCCGCCGGTCGGGGCCCACGCAACGGGGGTCAGCGCTGGCGAGGGTCAGCCGGTCCCCATGTGGCTGACCAGGTCGGGGCGTTGACCTCAGGAACCCTCAAGCAGGAACGAGGCCCCCTTTTTTCCCAGAAGCTGAGCTTCGATTTTTCCCAGGATGAACCTCAGGAACACCTGAGGCCAACTGTTCAACAATCACGGGACACCGAGCCTTAGGTCGGGCCTGTCCCCCTACAGGGGGATTGTGGACGAAACCTAAAAAATAGCCAAAACATGCCCCCAAATGGCAAAACAAATACTCAAACAACAGTCCCCAGACTATCTTTTGACTATTTGTGGATTTTCCTCCTGTAGAAGGACAGGCCCGACTTACACCGAGCCCTTCCCCAACGAAAAGGCTTCCTTCTCCAGCGCCCCGACCGTGCCCGGGCCCTCGCGGTGAGGCCTCTGTGGGGCGCGATCCCGCGGATGTTACCAGCCTGGAGCAGATCCCTATCCCTATGCTGGGCACCTCCTCATCACGATGCCAATCTTAGGGATTCCCTTGTTTTTTGAGGGCGAATCCCTAAAATTGTCATCGCCTTTTGGCGTGTCAATCTTAGGGGTAAGGATACGTTCGAGGCTGGTAAGGATGTGCGCGATGGCACGGCTACGTTCCGCGCGGGGCATGCGCGGAGCAGTGCCCCGTGTCCGCGGGCCCGCGGCCCAGGGGCCCGGCCCGCGAGGCCGCGGGGGCAGGCCCCTGGACCGCGAGCTCCCGGCCGGGCTTCGGCCGCGTGTTGCGCTTTTCTGAAGGGGCCCTGGGACACACAAATAAATACACACAAATAAAAAGATGCCCCATATTTTTCCTATGTTTTCTGGGTTTCTGTCTTCCCCCCCACTCCCCATATTTTTCCATATTTTCTGGGGAATGGACGATTAATTGTGTCTGTGTGTTTCTTTCCCTCCTGAAATTCGGCCCACACCCAACTGCTGGCACGCCCGCGCCCACCACATCTGGCCGGACGCTGGACCGCCACCCAGCAGACGGTCACGCGACGAATCCCCATAGGGAAAACAACGGGCCGGCTCGCCCGCGTGAGGAGCAG